CTTTGGCTCAAAGTCGGTCCCACGGTGACGGGTGGACCACGCGGTTACATCGCCCTTGACGATCCGCCACACTCGATCCATCTCACAGTTCACAAAAACGTCCTTGGGAGGATCCTGTATCGTATGCCACGAGTGCGGCCATCCTTTCTCCGAGGCGCGCACCATCAACACGGGAGGTGCTGCACCACATTGCTGCACAGCATCATTCTCTTCGATAGCGTCGTCAGCTTCCCTGTACGACCATGACTGTTCTGGCCTCCCCTCACGCACCCCCATTCCCGTCCCCGTTTTCTTTCGCTCCACGCCGTCCGGAAGTTCCACCGCATGGCTCCGCCCCGCATTGTGCACAGACTCGTACACTCCCTCCAGTTTCTCCGGTGCGCTCGTCGTCGTTGGGTTCCTCGCCTCCTCGGCAACCGCATCCAAGAAATGTTTAGTGGAGTTATGAACAGCTGCTTTTACCTCCGCAGCAGCCAATGACCACCCCGGTAGATTGTCGACACCCTTATCGCAAAGCCTGCGTATATCCTCGTCGAAGACGACTTCACCCTTTGCAGCTCGCCTCATACTCAAATAACGACCTGATGCCTGTATCGCGTTCAGTGCTCCTTTATCACGGATATACTTCGTGGGGTCCCTGAAAAACTCCTCCAGCATGACATCCCGATTGGTGTCCACAATGCCCCTGCCGTCCAGTTCCCTCGTAAGAAAGTCGTTCAGCTTCATTACGTTGACGCGAGCTCTTCCCTTAAACAGTACATCATCGATATTAGTGGAAGTGGTAAATTTCATTTCTTGCGTTCGTCTTAGCCTTTCCTCTGCCTCCCGCCTCGCTTCTGTCAGTACCTGCGTGAGTACTCCGTTTGGTTTTCCCCTTGCAGCAGGAGTGATCGTATGCTTTCTTTCATATTCCCTACGTTGCCCGAGAGAGAGCACACCTTCGTGAAGAGGCCTAGCAATGGCCTCCAGCGCTTGGTGCGCAGTCAAGTTAAGAATTTCTTCAAGAGGCCGCTGGTCGTGTACGTAATCATCCGGCTCCTGAACAAACACCTCCATCTTCACGTTGTAGTCTTTCATCAACGGCCGCCCTGCCGCCAACCTAATTCAAAAGGAAATCACTCAGCCTCATGTTGGTGCTGCTCATGGTCCACTGCGGCCACACTTTACTCCCCGCCACATGTCGAGCCGCAGCGTCGGAACCATCACAAGAGCCACGGCGAGACGCCATCACAACACCCGTGCGGTGAAGCATCCCACTCGCACCG